CGCCAAAGCCCCGGGCACTGCCCCACGGGCCGCTGCCTCTGCCTGTGCCCTCGGGAATGGCACTGCCAGAGCTCTGGCTCCTGCCACAGCATCACAGCACCCTGTGGGCACTGCCTGTGTCCCCCTCAGCGCCCTTGGCAAACTCAGTGAGGGGGGGAAGTGTTGGGAGATGAAACCGGGATGTGGTCTCGATGCTGGGGAGCCCCAGGGACACCTGCCCCCCTGGGTTGGTGCCCCCTCCCCAGGGGCAGCTGGTGGGGGGGAAGTTTGGGGGTGTTACAAGTGCCTCCCCAAGTGCTTTGGTTTTTCTGTGCCTTGTGGGATTGCAGCAGGAGCCCCCCACTTCCCAGGCTGAGCCCCATGGAACCACAGCTCCCCTCGCCCCCCTCCAGCAGGTGGGAGGACATGTGGCAGGAGGTCACAGCAGCTCCCCAGGTTTATCCCTTGGAGTTTGGGGCTGCCTCTTACTATGTCCACAGCAGAGGTGGCCATTTCTGTTCCAGGATGATGCCATCACCATCCATGGTCACTTGCTCCGTCCGCTCCAGTACATCCCACCCTGCTCCCTCCCCTCTAGTACATCCCACCCTGCTCCCTCCCCTCCAGTGCATCCCACCCTGTTCCATCCCTCCCAGTACATCCCACCCTGTTCCATCCCTCCCAGTACATCCCACCCTGCCCCATCCCCACTGCCCCAGCCCCCCAGCCTTGCCCCTCCCTGCAGGGACTTCCATTGCTCCCGTGCAGCATAAATAAATAACGTGTCCTGCTTTAGCTGCCACTGTCTAATTAAAGCTGTACATCAGTGGAACAACTTGCAGATGTGGTATCCTCTGTCCAAGCCACTTTCATCACTCTTCCCAGCTCTGCCTGCAGGAAAAACCTTCCCCCAAATCCCTGCTCTCTGCTCCTTTTGGTACCATCTCTCCTGCATCACGGCCGGGTTCCTGGCAGGCTCCGACTGCTTCCCAGCCCTTCCCACTGCCTTTCCAGCCCTGACTCTACCCAATTTCTCCAGAACTACCACATCAATGACACTGTCAGGTCCTTCCACTTCAAATGTGCTCTCCAAAAATCTGTGCCAGGGCTGAGGGTGCATTTATTTGTTTTTTAACCCCAGCCAGAAGGAGCTGGGACGTGGTGGAGCTCGAGTGCTGCGCTGGGGCGAAGAGCATCGTGGACTCTACACGTACTGGGCACTTTGAGGAGCTTGTTTTGGTCGTGGCAGGGAGAACAGCAGCAATTTTTAGCACAGGGGTGTTGTACAGCATGAATAATTCACCTGACAGAGGCTGCTGAGAGCAGGGGGGGGAGCTGGCTGTGCTGCTGCACCTGCAGGCAGCCAGGGCTTGCTGCCCGGGGCTGGATCAGCCCCTCCCCAGCTCATATCTGCTCCGTGCCCTCCTCCCTGTGCCACAGGGGGTGCCCTGAGGTTTTGGGATGGGTGGAATTCTGCATTCAGCACCACCTCCCCCCACTTTGGTGGGTAGGTAACCTTCAGGAAGGTGGAACCCGGCCTGGGGATGCTCTGATTAATCACCTGCTCTGCTCCTGCCCCTTCGTTTCCTTGCTCTTCTCTGGGTTTATGAAAATAAATTGCAGCTGCCTCGCCCCCCCAGGCTCCCCCCGGGCTTGGTGAGGAGCAGCAGGAGGCTGCAGGCAGGTCCAGCAGGGAGCACATGGCTCCACTTTGCTCTTGGCTGGGATAGGAGTCGTTTTGGGGTTTGTTTTCCTTTTATTTCCTTGGAGAAAAGGGATGCAACCACCTTTTGGCAGCACTGGGATTTTCCACTGGAGCTCCAGGAAGCCGAGCCCATGGGTAATTAAGAGAAAAGCTTTCTTTCTCTTCACTGGTTTTACATCTGCCTCTGGCACCCTTGGATGAACCATCTCCCTTTGGCACTGGGGGACCCAGCCACACTGCCTGGCTCTTTATTTCTTGACAAGGGGCAAATTTATTGAAGGGACCCAGCAGCCCATGCCCAGCCTCAGAGCTGCCTGATTTCCATGCTCAGCTAAACAGCTCCCAGCAAAGGAGCAAGATGGTTGGGGAGTCTGTGACTCCCTGCCCCGAGCTGTCACCCTGTAGTGGCTGCTTTTCAGTGGCACCAGAGCTGGGAACTGGAGGAATTTGTTACTGAGTCTGCATCATGTGCAATACCTGGGAGATTTTCCTGCCCTGGGCAACTGGCATCATCCACGTTCAGCTGGGGAAACTGAGGCACGGAGACCTGGTGAGCAGCTTTGGGGGTCTGTGGGGTCTTTATCACTCTCTGAGGAGATGCTGGGGGCTGGATCCTGTCCTGATCCTGTGGCCCCAGGGAGAGGGCAATTGGCATTATCCATGTTCAGCTGGGGAAACTGAGGCACAGAGACCTGGTGAGCAGCTTCGGGGGTCTGTGGGGTCTTTCTCACTCTCTGAGGAGATGCTGGGGGCTGGATCCTGTCCTGATCCTGTGGCCCCAGGGAGGGGGCACGTGCTGGGGGCTGCAGCTCACTCTGCTCCTCTGACAAGGTCTGACCAGCCCCTCTGGCCCCTGAGGTGCTTCACGCTCTCCCTAATTAAAAGCTGCTGTCCAAGTGGCTTGATGATGGAAGCCCTAATTAAATCAATTCCATCTTGTCGGTGAGCCAGGGCTTTGCATGAGAGATGCATGAAATTAATAGTTCTGGTTAGGGAATTAACTGCTCCTGTCTCTGGCATGGAGGGGGCTGGAGCAGGAGCTCCCAGGGGTGTTCCCAGTGGGTGTGCACGGGGCTCTGGCTGGGCAATGGCCTCTTCATTTTTGGGGTCCTTCTCCCCTGGCTGCTCAGGCTGGTGGCTTGTGTCAGGACATCACAAATCTCAGCTGGGGATGTGCTGACATTGCTGCTTTTGCCTAATTCTCCCTGATCTGGAGGGGATTCTGTCCCGCTCTGGTAGAGAAAAATGCTGCATCAGCTCCTAAGCTGGGGGGGTGAAACAGGGGTGAGATGAAGGTGCATTTGAGCTGCATTCCAGGTTGCTCACACCAGTTTGGCATTGACACCCCCAGCTCCTTCCTGCTCTCTGAGGGGCTTTTCTGCAGTTTGGGGGTGATGGGATGATGCTGACTCTCTTATCAGTTCAAAATAAGGGAGAAAGGAGGTTTTACCCCCTGTCCTGGGATCATTCTTGCACTTTTGATGGAACAAGGGAACCTTGGGGAGCAGAAGAGCTGGTCCCACCAATTTCCCCACCAGCACTGTGGTATTTATTTATTATTATGAGCCAGGCAAGGTACCACCAGTGCCCAAATATACAGCTGAGACATGTTTCCAGCTCCCCCTCCTCACCACATCCTTCTTCTTTCCAAGAACTTTGTATTCCTTGCCTGCATTTTGCTTTTATGGACCTAAAAGGGCTTTTGTCTTTTATCTGAGAAAATAGCTGGTGCTGGGAGTTGGGCTTTTATAGACCAGGAGATCAAAAAGGCAGAGGGGGGGAGAAGGCAGGAGTCTCTGAAACAGTCATTTGGGAACTGATATTTTATTTTTGCTTCCATCCAAGGCAGAGGATTGGGAGCAAAAAAACACAACACCCTCTTTCCATTTGTTTAGTAGAAAGCAGCTTCTAGGTTGTAGCCTGGAGATCTACAGGTGTTTTCTAGGCT